GTGAACATTTGTTCTTTAATAGATTGCCTTAGCCCTCAGAGGACAAAGCGCACTTTGTAAAAATCTGCCCGTTGTTTTAATGGCACATTTTACTATTAATATGTGTTGGGAGTCTTTATGAATGTATTCTCCACACCTTTTATTGGAACTAATATTACATCATTTCTGAACAGTCCTTCCCAAGGTCACCTCTAAGACGCTTTATGAGAGTAGTAAAATACATGGCTTTAATGAGAAATCAGTGTGCACATGAGTGGATGTCTGGATTATACAGTATTAGTCTTCTAGTGTTCATGTATGTGTGTGTATGGCTGTGTGTTGTTGTGTTGTCCTTGTCCAGTAATGGCTGATGTTACAGAGGACTTGGTTTGAAACGGCTAAATGTTTGTTGCTGATGTTATTGGCCATCAAGAGCAAATGAAGCACATGAGCATTCAGAACACTCATCACACTTGCGTCATGCAATTGACAGGCAATATTTCTTTCTCTCCACAAAACACGCACTATATCACAAAATATTTAGTGCTGTTTGCTAATGTACTGTGGTTGATCAGTTCAGTTTTGCTGGTCAACAGCATGGCTGTATATCATTTAGACCAGCATCAAAGCACTTAACTGGATCAATGTGGAAATTTAGCAGGGAGGGAGGGATTTTTTATTTTTTTTTGTACTGGACAATTTTTGAAAGATGTATGTCAAAACCAAAGACATAATTTTCATCCCACATATTCTTATTTTTAATTAGTGTTACATGTGACATATTCCCCTGAATCAAATCTCTTACCATTTCTGTAGATATAATTTTCCTTAAAGGGGTCCTATTATGCTCTTTTACAAAGTCTTAATTTTGTTTTGGGGGTGTACTAGAACATGCTGTCATGCTTGTTGTTATTTTTCACATATTTTACATGATTACAATACCTTTCTCCCCAGCCTGGCACAAATGGCTCGATTAGTTCCGGGTTTGATGAAGGCCTGCCTTCCGAAAAACGAAATGTGTTGTGATTGGTTAGCTGTCCCAGTGCGTTGTGATTGGCGAACAGCTTAGACTGTGTTTCAGTACTGCCCCGCCCCTTGCCAAAGCAGCAAGTTCCGTCTGCTCTGGTGTAGTTAAGTATGGCGTCAATATCGCCATAACAATTAACATAACATGACATAACAAGCCGGATTCAGACCCTGTGAATATTGAAAAAGAGGATCGCGCAGAACCTTTGCACGCACAGATATTGCAAGACATAGAGTGGTAACGTTATTGTTATTGTTGTTGTTTTTTTTTGGCTAAATCACGTTTTAGATAGGATGTCAACAACCGCTTAAAAATAACTGCATTTACTATGTATGATATGTATGAATATATATGTTTTATGTTTATTGTTCTTTAATTCTAACATTATAACATGAATTATAACATGTTATACAGTTGAATTTATTTATACCATAAGTCTCATAATTAAAGTGTAAATTCTGCAGATCACGTCATTGTCCAGTATTGTACTGTCAGCTATTTATAAAAACGTTTTCCTAATTGTAACATACATATGTACATACATAATTATTCAGGTGCATGTGTAATAACTTGTGAAATCTTGACGATACAGCAGCTCTTCTTCTTCTTCGTCGTCTTGTCTGATGAACTCAACCAAGCGTTCTAACCACGACCTCGCCCCTCCCCACCCCCCAACCATTCGAATTTCCATAAGGTCGGAATTATTTAATGATATTCTAATGGGCCGCTTTGTGACATCACAAAAACCCTGTAAAACAACGCTGTAGTCCAAACGAGCCGTTCGTTGTAGTTCTTGAAAAGGGATTTTTTTTTAAACGAAATATCTCCCTTTGGAGTGGACTTTGAGATTTGTAACTTTGTAGATCTTTTTTATGCCCAAACATACACACTGACTAAAATTCAAAAAGTGAAAAAGCATAACTGGACCCCTTTAATTGTCTAAGAATAAAAATATTATATTATATAAAAAATGCAACAATTAATTAAAAGGGTGGTTGAAGAAAATATGCTGTTTTTAAACCAGATTTCATTTTTTATTTATTTATTTATTTTTAATTTTAATTAAGACTATGCTCTTCAAATTGCACTATAAAACACTTTTCTTGTACATATTTAATTTAAATTTTTTTTTCTCCACAGATCAACTTTTTCTTACAGAAAATTAAGAAAGAATGATTTTATATTGCATCTCTTTGCCACAGTGGAACTGCAATAATGCATTCTGCCCTACAAAGGCAAAAGAGTGTGAAACTGAGAAAAATGACTTTAAAGTTTTTTTTAAATTATTTGTCCAGCCAAATTAATTATATGTAGGAAACTGAAAATTTGGCAATTAGATGTTTTAGTAATGAAAATGATCTAGATTTAAAAAATTGTGAGCTCAAACTTGATTTTTACCCCTATTTTGAAGTTGCTGTACTCTGCCTTTGCATTGTCTGCAAAAAGTGAGAAGTCATACTAAGGTAAAAGGCAGTAACTTCCACATTATCAATATTTGGTTGCTGATCACCATTTACAAAATCATTATAGTAACACTTGTATAAATCTAGTGATTATGGGCTATCTCATATAGGCTATTGCATATAGTAATGTGACTGTATAGTAATGTATAGTATAGACATATAGTAATGTGTTGTTTTTTTGACCGTAACAAATAGACTAAAAGTTAAACGTGAGTGGATACCGTTTTGCAACCAATTTATTTGCTATGCTCAGTAATGTAAAAGAATGCTAGAAATAGCATAATTGCTTTTATATTGACTTGAATGAAATAGCTTAACCTAAAAGAACGACTTGTGAATTAATGTGAACAACAGCAAGCAGGAATGCTCAGAATGCTTGTGGATTAAACATCTCCAATGACGTTCATCGCCATGGATTGATTTTATCGGGTTACAAGAAAAGGTAGGATATGGATTTAATTGCGAACTGTTAGTACTGATTTTATGATTGATCATGCTACATGCTACGGCATTTGAGTCCACACGCGTCCAACTAGAAGTGACAGCCTGGTGAATAATCTGCATTACAAAAAGAAAAAAAAAATCTTTAAAGGTTATTCACGATTACGTATTGCTGCCAAGGTATCTAGTCTTTACAGTGCTTTGTTATATGGAGCTGTTTGG